CTAAAACAAATTTTTTTGCAGGCCTAGGGACCTGGCTTGAAGGGGGGAGGAGATATAAAGAATAAAAATATATTATTTTCAAATAACAGGTAACAACTATCATAAAAGTAGGGAGAAAAACTAACTACCCCTCAGCCCCGTCATTCTTGACGGGTTATTAGCTAATATTTATTATATTTATTTAAACTTGCTTACTCATGTATTCGCTTATTTTTTAATAAAATTATTTTGCTTAATATTTATAAATAGTCGCCTGATTTTATATATCACGTGTAGAACGGTTTTTTTCTTTTTCTCAAAAAGTATAAAAGTGACGAGATTTTAAAATTATAAGAACTTTTTGTTATTTTATAAATGTATTTTTTTGCGTTTTCGACTTGTCTTAGCAAATTTTATGAGTTATAAAATAGCGTTACAGGTAAAGATTAATTTTCATATTAATATAAAAAATTTAGATGTAACTAGTTACATTTTCATCAGACTAAATTTACAATTATTAAAATGCAACTAGTTACAGTTATTCCTCAAAAATTATTAATTATATCACTAGGATGTAAGTAAAAACAGTTCATGGGTAAATTTCAGCGTGATATAAAATATTTCTCTTAAATGCCTCCTCCCATGTTTTTAATACCCTAAACTGGTCTATCGATTATATTAAATACCTGATAATAATATTACATAAAGTTGTCGAGCGTACAAATATCCTAGGCTAGCTTATTGTCTTTTTTTTCTTATACAAGTGAATAGTCCTAGCACAATACCTTTAATTTTTTTATAATATCGTTTATAAAATATTAATGATTATCAGGTTGTCGAATTGTTAAGTAACATTTTGGTTTTATTATGGTTCTTAGGTTAAATTTTTAAACTTGTTATATTTGAACAAATTTATTTCGCGCTTTGTTCCTACTTTGAATTTTTCCCGGTTTTTATAAGTTTGCGAATTTTTGAAATTATCATTATTTATTTTTAACCGTTAATGATCTAATAAAATATTTTAAATATAAAACCAAAAAAAAATTAAAGGAATATTTAATCTTTATTGTATATAAAACATGATCTTGTATAACTACTATTATTAAAAAAAATAACCATTATATTGGATCGGCAAATTAAAAATCGGTCAATATTCTATCTATTTAGATAAATAATTGGGCCTATCTGATATTTAACATTTTGTTCTTAGAAATATGTCAATTCATGGCTACGCTGATATAGGTTTCATTTATAATAAATGTTCAATCTATGCATTATTTAACCCAGCATTATTTACAAAATAAGTTTAATTTAAATAAAGGAGCGTTATGAATGATGATAACGCTATGATAAAATTTGAAAAACTATGTTGCGACTTGTATTTCAAATATTATTAACGCTCTGAAGAATCAACTGTGATTTCGATAGCCTTAAATAACTCAACGTTTGAAAATAAAGCGTTTACTATAAATGAGGCCTTTAACATTATATAATAAAAATATGGATTTATTTATAAATTTTTATTAATTAATTGCTCATCCTTTTCAAAATATTAGTAAAGGATGATAAGAGGGGAGGACTGGGTTATAAGAGGAAAATATCAGAATTGTCATGTCGTTTACTATATTTTAGTGCACAATATATCAATAACGTCGCTTGACGCTACACATCATTACCACGTTCTTTTTTTTTCAAATGAAGTGAAAACGCTTCCGATTGAGTAGAGTGAAAGCTAAGTTTTGATTAATTTATTATATTATATTTTTATACATTGATTTATTGTAGAAATAATATAGCCAACATTTCTTGTTCTTAATTCATTGAAATCAAATAAAATCCAGGTCGGTGAATCAGATAAAAGGATGGATGCTTGGGTGAAACAGAATAATTCATCTAGCCAAAACAAGTTGTGAAGGATGCAAAAAATAGGTGAGATAAGGGGGCACGTGAAAAAGCCCTTAGATATATATGGTAAAGAGAGCTTGCTCCCAATAACGATAAAGGCACTTCAATTTATTATAGATAATAAATAATTTGAGACAAAAACTTGATAATTTATGTAAATTTAAGACTCTAAGTACAGTTATAATATATTTGTAAATTTTTAAAATAATGGGACCACTGTCATATCTTCAAACTAAAAAATTAGGTACTCTGTCAGCATGGAAAATGAAAGAAGATGCTAAATCTTTTCTGTATCATCGATTCAAAATAAAGCAATAAAATGGCTGCTAATTTAAATCAAACATTTTCATATTTATAGCTCCCGGAGAGTGTCTGATGCTCTGTAAAAAGATCGAATAGGGCGAGCGAAGAGAATATATAGTGACAAAAGCCAAGATGAACGTCCTCAAGAATCGATTGACCTTTGTAGGTTCGAATTCTATAATTGATCAAATTATAAACAGCTTGTCGGAGCTGAGCGTATCTTGAATGTGCAATATTTGCATCCAAGATATTTTAATGAAATAAATAGTAAATCTGAAAAGGCCTTGGAAAAACTGGCACAATTGGCATATATATTGAGTGTTAAATTTCATAACGAATTGTTCATCTGCCAGTGTATTCAAAGATTTGGTAGCAGAATTAAATGAAACGGATATGATATCGCATGGTATGAAATTCTTAAAAGATACAATATGCATACAAGTGACACGAATTTATTTTTGGCATATAAATACATTTTAACTTTATCATTTACGCAGGTTAATTGCGAGAAAGCATTTAGTAAATTGAAAATTATAAAAATAAGCTGAGAGCTAATATTGACCAAGAAAAATTAGAAGCGTTTTTAATTATGTCATTTGAACGAACTATTAGAGTAGATTGACGGTTTGATTAAACTACAAACTAAGGTAAACTGCAAATGCCAAGGTAAACTGCAAATGCTTAGGTAAAATTTTTTGACATATTCTCTATTAATTGTATTATTGTAATTTAAAATGTACTTATAATTATTTATAATTTAATTATTCCAAAGGATTTAAACGCTTTATTATGAGATAAAAGAAAATACAACTATTAATTTCTATTCATTTATTATTGATTATATCTAATAATATAATTTTTATAGAATAAGAAAATGAACTCACTCCAATTAATAGAGAATATGTCAAAAATTTTTACCTAAGCATTTGCAGTTTAGTCAAACATGTTAATTAAACACGTCAAACACCTTTTTAAATAATAATATAATATGATTTTATAATATACTAAAACAAAGAAAATTTGTAATTTTTTCTTAAAATAATAATACGCCAACTTGCGGATTTAATATGAATGAAATTTAAAATGTAATTATAATTATTTTTAATTTATTTATATTAAAGGATTTAAACTATTTATTATGAGATAAAAGGAAATACAACTATTAATATCTATTCATTTTTTATTGATTATATCTAATAATATAATTTTTATAAGTTATACATATCATAAGAAAATGAATCTTACTCCAATTAATAAAATATCAAAAATTTTTACCTAAGCATTTGCAGTTTAGTCAAACCCGCAGATCAAACTAGAAGATATTCCTTTGTATTTGCGCGAAGGTTCAAAGTTTGAGAGATTTATTAACGTAAAATTTTTATATTTTCTTAATTCTTTTATTAGAATCTTATTAATATTATTTAACAATATGATCGGTACCTGATTTTATAAAAGTGCAGCAATTTTATCCTCTGTAATATGTATAATTTCAAATTTTATATTAATTGATTTAATATATAGGGTACATTTTTTTATATTTAACGTGTGATATATGATTTGATTAGTGCAATATCATTTTAAATCTAATATAAAATATATATTTTCAATGAATATTATTTTATATAGGTAATGAATATGATTTTAGATGTGCATTTTTTTAAAATAAAATATATGATTATCGTATAATAATACTATTCTTTTTTTTACTAAAAATGTAAAACGTTTGAACTTATTTTCAAAAAATAAGAAGTAATAAAAATCATGTAAATCAAAGAAGCCATTTAAGGGCAAAATGGTAATATGGGGGCGAAAAATGCCCACGAGGCCGTAGCGTCGCCAATCCGCCCTTATGATCATTAAATTTTCTGCTATACTATTATTGTCAAGTCAATGAATTTAATTTGCCACATTTTGCATAAAAATATATCGTATGATTGATAGCATTATCATATTAAGGCGACCAACTAAGTCGAACACTCGTTACTTTTTGGCCAATGTCTCTTCCAATTTTTCTAAACCTATAATTTTATTACATTAAACAGACATTCTTATTGAATAAAATAAAAATCACGTAATTTAAAAAAATAACATCGGGTTCTATTTTTTTTTAAACATTATATTCTCTTATTTTATTATTAATTGTTATTTTTTTTTCAAAAATGAATAAAATACATACTTTGAATCGACTATCATAATTTCGAAGTAATGAAATTGGGTCTGTAATTTCAGGATTCTAAATCATGAAGAAAGTAAAATAAATAATAATGAATGCATCAAATATGCCTTTTATGTTTTTTATTATTTTAATTAATTTTTTTTAAATTATAAGTATAATCTTATTGGTAAATTCTTGATTCATGTTATATATCATAAATTGAATTATATATTTATTTTTGCGATTTATAAAATATCGTCTGGTTTTGAACTCAACTTCTCTTTTTTCCACCCAGTATTTTAAAAGATCGTTTGTGATCTTGAGATCGGATCTTCATTTATTTATATAAACGCTCCCTACATCGCATTTTAAAATAAATAATACAGCTGTTAACATCATTTAATTATACTCACCGCGCCTACTATAAACGAGACCTTATTGTTGAATGAAATATTAGGCAATTTTTAATACTTAGAAAGACTAAATAAAATTTTGGATTCGTAAGTTTGGTGGCATATTAGAAGGTTTCGTCTGTATTTAGAATTTTGTCTTTTCAAAAAAAAATTATACATGACATTTTATTTAATGAAGTTGGTATTACTTTTTATATGCAAAATCCAAAAAGATCAACTTATATTTTTATTATAAATAATATCAGGGTCAAGATGCGCATGTGCCAGATAAACACGTCAATCCCGAAGGAAAAGGTATAGAAAGTAAGTCTGGTCAATCTACATTTACCTATCATGAAACCATTAGTGTTAAAAGTGCGTCTCGTTTTGCATGTTTTTTTTGCTTTGCCTTTTCTTTATAAAAAATTTTTTTTGCCTCTTAATTTTGGATTGCATAAATTTGCTTAATGGCAAGTGGTTTACCTTACCCTGGTTCAATAATTTTGAAGATGAAACTAGAATTTGGAACCTTCCGAATCTGGACAAATGTTTATTCTGGCAAACTAATTTATATGTATACTGTTTAAAAAATTTGTAATTTAGTTTAGAGAGTTTATTTTTAATTTTTTTTTCAAAAAATTAATAACATCAAACCAGTTAAGTCCAGGTTTCAAACTGCATTTTTTGAATGAAATCAGGCAGATCCATTTACTTAACTATTCTTTAATTTCACGATATCAAATAGGTTTCAGTAAACCCAATCTGCTTGATTTCACAGAGTATGGGCTCGAGCTAGTTCACATATTAAAAGACGGGTATGTAATAACATCTCCGTCAAATTTAAAAAATTGCAAATGTTAAAATATTTTTTTTCTCTTACTGCATTCTAACAAGCTTTTCAACTTATTTTATAATATGTGAGAGGGGTTTTTAGTGCTTGAAGAATAAAATTCTGATAACAAGATTAATACTTTTAATCGAATCTCATTTAGCTTCAGCATACAATCTACTATAAAATTTGCAAAAGATAAAAGTATGAATAAGCCGGACGGCGCTCAAAATAATCATTGAAGAGCTAAATTAGAAATAATTTCGAATTATATTGACATAAACCATGCTGTGATATAGCAACCACATAATAAGGAGACAAAATTCAAGGCCCAACTATGTCTTTTTTTTAGCACGCAAAGTGCCGTTAAAAAATTAATTTTAACATTTGCCTTGTTTTTAAATCAACGGGTTTGAATTCGGATAGCCTCGCTATACTTATAGACCGAGGTAATATAAACCTTTATAGCTTTATTTTTAAGCTATTTGGGTCTTAAGGAAATTAAATAAAAAAATGAATCAAAATACCTGTTATATTCTAATTGCTAAATTTAAAATAATTTAACCAGGCCTCGGTTTTTACGTTTACCCCATTTACCGAAATATTGGGTTAAATAAATCTAAGATCAATATAATTTTTGACATAAGTGTGTTAAACTTTTAGTTTTTTTTAACTTAAATTTCGATCGATCGATTTTTTGCGTAAATTCTCACCACTAGCAAATGAGTAAGATTAACTTTTATCAATTTTATATAAAAATATTAACCTTTTTAAACAGATGTTGGGAATAGAGATCTTATTTATTTTTTTAAAAAATTTTTTTTAATTTTTAAGGCAAGCATAATGGTATATAAAAAATAGCATGATGTTACTAAGAATAAAGTCTTATCATTAAAACTATATAATTAAAAAAAATACTAGTTTTGTTTCCTCTTCCTTCATCCGTTATTTTTTTTTGTTTAGCTTTGCTCTGAAATCACTTTGCATGTAATGTAAAGATAAATTCTATAATTAATATATGAAATATATTCGTATTTTCCAAACTTTGTTAATATTAATCAATCATCCATTTTATTTTATTTATACAAATCAAAATTAATAGATTTAAAAAAGGTCACCGACACCGATAAAAATTACAAAAATAAAGATATGAAAGCTCACGGGACCGTCCCTTCCCATATAACCCCGGCAGCTGCCCCGGCAAAAGTTGTGGGTGGAAGTTTGGAGAGTCAAATCAAGGATAAAAAGGCCAACACCCAACTCCAAGGCAACAAATGGGTGGTAGAGTATCATCAGAGTAACCCCAACATTAAGGTTTTCATTAGCACTTTCATTTTTTAATTATTTTAACACCTATTTGGCATAAACAAATTTAAGATTTTCTAGCTTCCCACTTAATCATTTAAAACAATTAAAACCCAGATCGTAGTGGAAGAGATCAAGCAATGCGTTTACATTTATAAATGCGTAAATAGTTCGATTCAAGTTCAAGGAAAACTCAATTCCATTTGCTTGGATAATTGCAAAAAGTGCGCTGTCGTGTTTGATAGTGTTATATCGCAACTAGAAGTCACCAATAGTCAGGGTTCTGAAATTCAAGTTATAAATATTTAAAATTATAGGAATTCACAAATTTCAAAAAATATTATCATTTTAGATATATATTTAGTCTAATTGCGATAATAAACGCGAATAATCTATTAGATTAATATTTGCCTTATTTAGGTTTTACAAAAATGTCCCCTTATGTGTTTGGAAAACTGTGACGGGGCTCAAGTTTATTTCAGCAAAGAATCAATGGACACCCAACTGATATCCGCGAAATCCACTCAAATCAACATCCTAGTGCCAACAGATGAAGAAGGAGATTATGTAACATCACAATTCCGATTTATTTAATAAACATTTCACATCTTTTAAATTATTTTAAACAAAGTAGTCTTTATATGATTAACTAGCAACATATTTGTTCCTGATTTTTAGTTTTGAAAATTAACATTCCTTTTTTTCTATAAATTCAAAATATGGATATTTAAATTTAGTCTAACCTAAAATTTTTAACATTACAAACGATTTTTTTTTAGCGATTCACTTAATTATTAAATTATTGATTTTGTCTAAAATTAACCTTTTTGTTATTTAAATTAAACAAATTAACCATTGGATTTTTCCAATCTAATTTCACAACTTAGAAAGCGGAGGCTTTACTGTATTTTATAATATGATGTTATAATTTAGAAAGAATTTCCGGTGCCTGAACAATACAAGACAGTGTGGGAAACTGATCACTTCGTAACTACAGCTGTCGAAAAAAAGGGTTAACTACAACAGTCAGCAAATACGTCGTTTCCAAAAACAGAATGATTTTTTTTTGCTTTTGAATTAAATAAGTTTACTGTTTTTTTAGTATATAATTAATTTATTTATAATTAGCATACCCGAAATAATCTCACTATCTTACCTAATATTCTGTTAAATGATGTAATATATATTATATATATAAAATAGCGAGTATGTCATATGTAAAGTTTTTACTGCATTATTGTATTTCGATTTTTTATTACTGATTAGCTTATTATTTTATAGAATTATTTATTTATTTAATGACTTTTAATCTAATAAAATATTTCTAGCAAAACAAAGTGGTAGTCAGAATCAATTGAAATTTTATTTTATTATATAATTAAAATTATTATTAACATAATTTTAGAACTAATATTCATAAATTAATAATAATTTGACAAAAGTATTCTTATAAACATAATATATATATAAAAACTTTTGTATAATTTTGTTCAAATTTTTCTCACAATAATTTTTTTTTTGAATTTGAAAATGGAGATTATTTTCCCGACTTCGTCTTGTCACCAATTCCTTTTAATTTTAGGTCGATTTCATCAGCCTTAGCTTGTTTTTCGTGTTGTTTATCTTCGATCCTTTCCTTTAGAGGTTCTGGATTAATGCCGTCATTGTCTATAATGTTGTCCATGTATTGTTCGGATGCGCGTCTCAGTTTTACAGCTTCGAAATTTTCTTGAATATAAGGCGAAGGTTTTTCTGCATTTTTATCGGATTGAACAGCTTTAGCAGACATGTTAAACGAGTTTTTTTTATAAAAATTCTTTTAAGTCAAATTTAAAATAAAAAATAAATAATATTGTAAGGAACAGTTTATTATTATAAAATAATCTTATATTGATTGATTTATTTTAATTTATAATACCATATGTATAAATACTAAATTTTTTATGGGTATCAATTTTCTTTAATTATCAAAAAGTAAAATAAATAATATGGGTTAAACATAATGCGTTTATTATTTTATTTTTTTAAAAAGATTTATATTATTTTTATGAAAAGATTTTATTATATTTATAAAAAATACAATTTTTGAAATTCTTTCTTTTTTATATAATTTTAGCTTTCTAAAGATGTTTATGTAATCCACTTTAACAAAAAAGTAATTAAATAATTGAGCCGAAACTTTATCAATAAAATATAGGAAAAGTCCGTGGCATGATTTTTAAAAAGAATTTTGTAATTAAATAAAATAAAATAAAATTATTAAATTAAAAGTCATTCCAATGCATAAAATTGGTTTAGAGAATAAAATTAATATTTTAATTTGGCTATATATTGATCTGGTATATTTCCAAATTAAATTCCATTTATAGAAAGGTCGCGAACCATTCTTAGACCGAAAAAATTACTTTTGGACTAGCTTGGATCGAAGAATTTAGATTTTACGGGTAGTTACATAAGAGATTGAACTCGGATAATTATTAAAAAGTTTTAGCCAGGTCCAAAAAAATATTTTATCAGGGTCATCACACTAAGATCATAGACCTTCAAGGGCCTGACCGGCTTATGGGCTGGGCAAAAATAAAATATAAAATAATAGAGGCCGGCCTTCTAGTTTAATTTTTCATTGGCTTGAGCATGGTTTAATTTAAATATTTTTTACAGTAACTTCCACCACGGAAAGGGGTATGACGCAAGATCTTCGTTGAAATTGAAAGGGGGTAAGTAATTAACTATCGCCATTTTTGAGTCGTCTAATTTACATGTTATTGCATTATTTTTTCAACTTGAAATAGTGTTTTTTTTAATTTAGATATAAGATTTTGCCCGAAATATATTCAGCATGTTTTGAAGGCCTATTCTTTGATTTAAAATTTTACCATAAAATTTCCAATTTAATATAGTTTGATTTTTTTAAATATAAATTATAATAACTCAAAAGTTAACGGCAAAATTGTCAAAAATCAGAGGATAGGCATTGCATTCGAAAAATTTATAAAATACATTTCCGATAAAATCATATTCTAATAAATTAAAATGATGGCGTATTTATAAACATAAATATTTTACTTCCCATACTTATTTTCATTTTAATATAAAATAATTCACCCTTTATAAGGCCCAGAATATTATGTAACATGCGCTCTCCATTCTTAATTTCAGATAAAATTTAAGGTAATATAATTATATTATATTGTTTGTTTATTTTAGATTAGACAAAAAGGATATACATAATATAAATTAGGGCAGCACTTATCTGCGACAGGACTTGGTGTAAAAATATCATTCGCTTACATCTAATAGAATTCTGGTTAACTCCTTTTTTTATATTAAACAGCTTAGAGGATTTTTATAACTCTTTTTTTATAAACAGCCACCTCGCTTAAGAGGACTCTGCTAACTCTTTTTTGTAATCAGTCGCCTCACTTAAGAGACTTTGGTAACTCCTTTATCAGCAACCTCGTTTAAGAGGACTTTGGTCTCTTTTTAACCCTTGATGTCTATAATAATATAAAAATAACGCAATTTCAAATCATAGGTAATTTATTTATTGATACCATACTTTTTTTTACATAAATATTTTCAATAACAATTTTTATATAAGAAAACAAATTCATAATTGATCTTCCAAAAGCAAAGAAAACAATATAAATCAAAAATATATAATGATGTTTTTACTTTTATTTTGCCTTTTATAACTTGTACATTTCAAAAATAAATATAAATTTATTAATAATCTTTAATCATGAAAATATTAATTTTGATAATGATGACTTGACAAAATAATGATGATGAATACGCAAAATTAGCTTCATAATATTCAACCTCCACCCCCAGCATATATTGTAGTTTAATCGTGTTTTCAACAATTCGAACTAGTTAATGCCTTGAGTATCCTCCCTTTGTTCTCTAGTAATTGCTGATCCACTTTTCATTATTATCTATTGTACAGGTGTTGAGTTAAACTATGTCCATGTACGATCTTTGGTTTAGTTGTCTACTTTGTTTCATCTTAAATATTTTTCCACCACCTTTGCCCAGCAAATATATATATTTTTTTTTACAATATATCGTTATCATTATATATATATTTATTTATTTTACCAAATTCCAGTTGATTACCCTCCTCTTCATATTCCCGATCGTAATCTCCCAAGTCCCACACTCTTTCTGGTCCCGATGCCGTATACCTTCCCTTTCATCGGTGAATTTTATCCAATTAAATTTTTGTCCAATGTTTTCCATGATCACCTCGGATTCCCATCTTGTATTTCCATATATTCTGACCCACTATAAATTCAGACGCCATATTTACCTCTTCCCCCTTTTAATTTGATTACCACTTCAATAATTCCGGTAAAATATGGGTTTCCTCCCTAAAAATTTATCCGCTGGAGATTCTTGTCCAAAGGCAATCCAAAATGTTGGATGGTGAAATATATATATATATTTTATTCTACTAGTTGTTAAAAAGTCCATATTATATAAGCCTGAAAATTTTGCGCATAGATTGCCCAGAGGTTTGGTCATCTATTCACCAAATCTCTTACATGATATTATTTTGGCTAAAATCGTAATCGGGATGTTTTAAAAAATCGAACTAAAACGGGCTTTTAACAATACTATTCCATCATATAAAATATGATTATGATTCTTTTAATAAAATAATTATAATATAGATAAAAAATTATAAATTTAAAATATATCATTTGCATACAATAGTAAAATTGGAATGCTTAAATATAAAATAATAAAAAATTAATTAATATATAAAGATAGTAAGGAAAAACAACAGAATTATTATATGAATCAATGAAAAAAATGTTAAAAGTGAATATTAAATTATTTTAAACAAAAATATAAAAAAAGCTTCTAAATATATTTTGTTTAGAAAATTAATATGATAAATTGAAAATAAAATATCTTAGATATAGATTTAAATATTTTATTAAAAATGTCAAAAAGATACGGAATACAAGTTACAATAGTGTCTTGAATCTAAGATACAAGCATTCGCGATACTGCCTAACTCTGTATAAACTTTTATACCAAATATGCATGAATGCCTATTTATCTTTAGGCATTCAATAAAGTTTTTAAAATTTATTTCTTCTTATACTATCTTACCTTTTGGTTAAATAAAAAATAATTGCACTTATATTTTTTCATTTTCTCCTGCTTTTGTACCTTTGTCAATATATGTTTATAGTTAGTGATTAAAAATCGCTCCAATTGAGCCGATTCTTTAAAGCGATATCAGTATTTTCTCCAGAGAAATATTTTGCTCATATATGGCCAAAGGTTTGGGCATCTATTAGCTATGGAGGCCTAGACAATACTTTTCTGGATAAAATATGAAGTTGGCCGTTTTTAAAAGCGGCTCAATTAGAGCGATTTTGCATCTAATAATACTCTCACAATTGCTTGAGAGAGTGTTGTTAAACAACTGAGCCGATTTAAAAAAAGACAAATTTTATATTTTAATCATTTGTATCAGCCTCGATTGGCTAATAGAAGTCCAAACCTTTGTAATATTTATGAACAAAATCTTCAAGCTTGCGTAATATTTTTTTTCTGGACAAAATATTAAGTTACTTGTTTTTAAAAATGGACTCAAATTGATTCTTTTCTAGTCAGGAGGATGCGACTAATATTGGCTCATTTGCGATCTCAGTGCATTATTTTATTTTTATTTTAGTTATCTTGCCCTGTCTAACACTCTCTAAATGATTGTATTAAGATTTATAATTATTAAAAATAAACAAAAAAGATCATGAATATATATTTAAGAATCTTTTTGAAGCTTGACTGGCCTCTGCGAAAATGTTTACCCCTATTTATATTAACTTATAACTGTAGTGTATTTTGATTATTAATCAGATACCATACCCTAATTATATAAAGCTTGCCAAATTCATCTCCCTGGTAATATTCTTTTATTCGTGATATACTCATTATTTATATATAAAATTTTTAAATTTTACCTGCTTTATTTCTTCTAAAAAAAATTTACTACTGAAAATGCACTCATACCATGATGATACTTATTATTGATAATATTTTATTCCATTTACCTCCTCAGTTTCACACCTATATCATATTTTTTGTTTTTTTAAACTTAAATACCTCAAGATTTGTGATCTATTGTCATTTATTATTCGCTACTATATGGGATTTGATGAGATTAGTCTTGCAGTCGGTAGTAGTGATTGATAATATAAGAACTTGGTAAGCGGTAGTATTAATTGACAATGTATATTCTAGTCTGGTAGGTGGTAGTATTGATTGAGAATGTATATTTTATTGTTAATTATTTATTTAATCAGAATTCTTTTATATATATTAAAAATTAAAGTTTTTTTAAGACAAAGATTTTATTTGTTTGAATATCATTTTTTAATCAAAGTAAGTATCGTTGATAATATAAAATTTATAATATTTCTTTTTTTCTTCAATAATATATATATTTATATATATAAATACATTCATATATATATATATTTGGTCAATTAAATTAATCGTTCATATTTTAAATTGACCCAAAAAAAAACATTTAAATAATGTAAAGACAAATTGAAATTAACGCTTTAGACAATAAATAAAGAAATATATTATAATAACAGGATTCTTCGCCATTTGTGTTTCCCAGATCCCACCTTCCCCGTCCTTATATAATAAAATTCTATAAATCAAACGAAATGAAATTAAAAAAAAAATGAAAAGACCGATAAATATATATATTATCAATGATATTGTATATAACTAGACCTGTGCGCCGCCGGCAATTTTATTCACGCTGAACAGATCGGCGGCGTGAGCCGGCTAGCCGCCAATTTTTCTTATGGCAGCGGTGCGGCGTGTATAATGTTGTTAAATTATATTTATATATTAAATTATTATTTTTTAAATTTGAATATTAACATTAATATAATAAAACATGAATTGTATTCTATTGCTTTATATAATAGAATAGAGTATATCATTTACATTCATTCATACACCATATTCATTTCGGCTATATTAATTATTTTTATGGATTTGCGCGTTATAAACCACCCTATATACAATTATGAAATAACAACTCTCTCTACTACAAAAATCAAGTTATGTGTGGAAGTACTTTGGAAATCTTATTTTGAAGAATGAGAATAAGAAAAGCACGATAATGCCTGATTATATTTACTGGTGAACCTTGTTTAAAATTGGGGAAAAAAGATGAGGAAGATTCGGATAAAAATAATCCATTTTCACAGTAATTTATTTTAATTTTAGACTTATATTTATATATAATTTATATTTTAGTTATGATATCAAATGTTATAGCAAAAATATAAGTACGAGTAACCTTTCTCGTCACTTAATTAATGTGCATAAAATATCAGAAAAAACTAATAATAATAAATCCATTCAAACTCTAAAAATGTTTCTAAAGCCAACGCCAACATGTAGCAAGAATATTAAAGATAAAAAATTGCTCTTAGGTTAGTATTAATGTTTATTAATATTCATTTTAAATTTTTAACTGGTTTGTTAAATTAATTTTATAAGGCTTTATTTGTTCAAAACAACTAAATTTTTTAGTTTGTTTTGTCAGCTCTTATTTTGAGAACTTTTTAATGTACAAACTTAATATATAATTTATTAAAATAATTATGTAAAACTTTAAAACAACTAAATTTTTAGTTTGTTTATTGTCAGCTCTATTTTGAGATCCAATGCATAAACTTATGTATAATTTAAATTAATAAAATAATTATGTAAAACTTTAAAACAACTAAATTTTTAGTTTGTTTATTGTCAGCTCTATTTTGAGATCCTTTTAATGCATAATTTAAATTTATTAAAATAATTATGTAAAACTTCAACTAAATTTTTAGTTTGTTTATTGTCAGCTCTACTTTGAGATCCTTTTAATGTATAAACTTAATATATAATTTAAATTTATTAAAATAATTATGTAAAACTTTAAAACAACTAAATTTTTAGTTTGTTTATTGTCAGCTCTATTTTGAGAACTTTTTAATGTACAAACTTAATATATAATTTATTAAAACAATTATGTAAAACTTTAAAACAACTAATTTTTTAGTTTGTTAATTGTCAGCTCTATTTTGAGATCCTTTTAATGCATAAACTTAATGTATAATTTAAATTTATTAAAATAATTATGTAAAACTTTAAAAAAACTAAATTTTTAGTTTGTTTATTGTCAGCTCTATTTTGAGATCTTTTTAATGAATAAACTAAAAATATATTTTATATAATTATGTAAAACTTTATTTTGAAAGTTCAAAACTAAATCAAATTTTTTATTTGTTTCTCTTTTTTAAATATCTTTTTTTTTAATAGGGCGAAATTATGTTTTGATGTGCTGCTTAGATTTATTGCCATTCGAAAGCAATAATGGGATGACAGATTTTCTTAAGGTTTAAAATTTAAATAAAATGATTATTAGAAAATAAATTGCCTAAAAAAATAGAAATATAAGATAATTGATTCCTCATCAGAATTGCCTAATAGGACAACTATTAGTCGGGGAGCACTTGATGATGTTTATTGTTCTATAAAGGCTCATGTTTTAAACCTGATTTATGCTGGTCCAAAATTCTGTTCCATTACTTTTGATTTATGGACCGATCATTTCAAGCGGCGAAATTATATTACATTTAGTCTTCATCATTTAGATGAAAATTTTGATTTAAAATATTTTACCCTGACAACCCGAAATGTGACTCAAAAGCATACTGGGGAAACCATATTATCGGAGATTGATGGTATCGAAGAGGAGTTTCATTTAAAAGCCAAAATAATACAAATGGTAACTGATGCAGGGGCAAATGTCAAAAGAAGCGTCAGATTGGGGGATTATGAGCATCATTTATGCTTAGGCCATGGACTACATAATTTGGTTACAGTTGATGGCATAAAAAAAGTTGCCAGAATTGATAATCTCTTTAAAAAAATTAGAGAAATTATTTCAGCCCTCAGATATCGAGTAGCTGATTTGGAATGTGAAATTGAAGATGAGCATCGTAAATGTCAGTCAATTTATGAGACAGGTCATATCTTGGATATTGATGATTCTGATCCATACCTTGATGACCATTTTGATAATGAAGCGGATAATAGAAATGTCATTACACCAACCAATCTATTTAATACAAAAACGTTAAAATTAAATTGCCCCATACCCGCTGGCACAGCATATTAATTATGCTAGAAAGTGTTCGTAGCGTGAACAAAAATCCTATTAATAATGTTTTGAATAAAATAGGAAAACAATGTTTAAAACTTTTTAATAATGAATGGGATATGATTGACGAGCTTTATGCCGTATTAATTCCATTCCGAGTCGGTGGAGTTTCTTTCCTCCCAAAAGGGATCGACTATAAATCTAGGGTTATTAATTCGCAGTGAAATAGAAACCCACATACAGATCAATATATCTGATTCCTCAGATATTATTTGTTTAAAAGAAAATATGCAAAAAAAGCTTGACCATAGGTTTCCCATTACTGAACTTAGTTATTTTATATTTTTATTAATAAAATTATATTTTGAACATTAGATATTAGCGATTCTCATTGATCCCAGATTTCAAAATCTGAAAATTGTGTCAGAATATTTAAATTCAAATTCTACTACATCATTGCAATTTTTAACAAGACATTTAAAACTTTTAGAAAATGATAAAAATGCACAAAATGAAATCCAAGTTGAAAATAATGGGGAGACTTCCAGTTCTTATATCGCCAAAATAGCTCGTAAACATTCCATTCCAGGCAGTGATTATAACAATATAAGTAATTTAGAACAAGAATGCCATATTTTGCTAAGCCAAAATAATATCCCAGAAGAGGATGCATTAACCTTTTGGAAGAAAAAGCAACTGGAACTTCCTAAGCTTGCTAATTTTGCTAGGAAGGTTCTTTGTATACCTCCAACCAGTACACCCAGCTAAATAATTTTTTCCATTGCTGGATTAATACTCAATGCAAAAAGGACTTCTTTATGTCCCACCAATCTTGATAAAAATCTATTTATTAATGATAATTATAATTTAGCTAAATCTGAATTCTGATTTATTATATTTCTTACTTAATATTTTGTTTGCATTCCAAATATATATTTGTTATAATAAAAATCAATAGAATATTACTAATATGTGTTGTTTATGTGACTCTGATCTGAGTGAAAATGCAATTCCTTAGTCTATTTCTGAGAATGAGAAAATACATGAATTTAAATTGAAGTGAGACAGGAAATAATTTAAGAAATAAACTATTTTAACAATGTTAGAAAAGAGCGCCAAATTATAAAAAAATGTAATACATTGATTTATAAATTAAATTGCCGACAATTTAGTAGGCGGCGGCGAAATCGGCGCGCCGCCGAACGCCGATAAAAAATTTAAAAAAACCGTTGCCGTCAATTGAGACATCGGCGCACAGGTCTATATATAACATATAACTAAAAATGTAATGTTAACTATATGAAAAAATAAGACGAAATTCTAAAATAAGAATAAACACAGAAAGAAAACTATCGAATTGGAGAGCTAAATTAAGAATTATAAAATAAAAGAAACACGGAAAGGAAACTACCAAATTAGAAAGCTAAATTAGGAATTCTAGGAAACGTTCTAAAGGACTTTAGTCATATATCTTTTTTAATAAAAATATTAATCATCATAAGTCAAATAATTGATCAAGTTTTATAAAAATTAAAAAAGTCATTCATATCAAAAAAATCTACAATATATATCGATCTCTAATATAAAAATGACTGACATTTTTTTAACTATATACAAAAATAAATAGATAAACAAACAAATATATATATATATATAATGATTGACATTACACTACAAAATGTATCATTTACGACAGTCAACATATAGCTTTATACTTATATTGAAAATATTAATTCGCTGAATTCAATTTAATCAGCTTATAATATAAATATATTTATTGTAAATTTTTTTCAAGATAGTTGTAAGTTCTTTTTGCAACCTCCTGCGAGCCCCATAACTCGGACATAGCTTACTTACAACAAGATAGAATCCTAGTTTTGGTTATAAATTTAATTACAGACAATAAGTGATTCACGAGAAAGTTTAATGATTTCTATAACTAAAGTAGGGGAGGAGACAGCGATCATTTAGTTTTTTAACATAGAATTATTATTAGTTGTATTATTGAACACAATTTTTACTTCTTTGTCTTTATAACCATACCGTTCATTTAACTATGGTACTGAAACTGGTGTTAATCATTAAAAATAATATTAAATAAAACAAATTTATTCTAAATTCTTAAGGCATTATTTTTTAAATTAAAATCCCTATGATATTACAACAATCAATTTTATTAGGTGTACAAAAAATTTCGTTAAACCTTTTCAAGGTAAAATTTTCCTGTTACACTTGTAATAATTGTTAATGTTATAGATTATGGCAAATTGTCACGCAATATTAATAGATAAAGACAAATTTCCAGAGGATTTAAATAATTTGATTGCACATGAAGGATGGCATATTAATGAAAAGAAAGATTCAATATTTAAAGAATATAAATTCAAAAATTTTAATCAAGCTTTCAGTTTTATGACCATGGTAGCTTTGAAGGCTGAAAAAATGGATCATCATCCAGATTGGACAAATATTTATAATACTGTAAATATAAGATTAAACACACATTCTGTGGCAGGACTTTCAGATAAGGATGTCACATTAGCTTCCTTTATAGAAAACGCATATAAAATGCATTTCCAAAAATCATAAGAGAAATCATGGCTCAAAATCTTTTATAGGAAAACTGAATTTTTAATATGTTAAGTGTTTTATTTAATATCTATTATTTATTAAAATTAGCTACTTTTACATAGAAAAATCATTTGTTCACAATATGTATTATATTACTTTTTGAATTAATCCTTATTTTGAAATATATCACTAATTTTCAATTTTATAAAAATTATAGATTAAATTTGTATTTTAAGATATTATTTATATGAAAAGTACAAAATATAATTGTGCAAAAATGAACATAATTAAAATTTAAGAGATATAATTGAATTTATCTTGAAATTTTTTGTTTAAACTATTATCAATGCATGCAAAATTAAATCTGAGCATTAAATTCCATAATCCTGAACCTGGAAAATTTAGGCTGATGAAATTTTTGATCTGGTGGATCTTAATTTGATTCATTAAAACATGCTTCCATCCACCCCATTAGCCTTATATTTTTAACATTCAAAGGAACTCATGCTATGAGTTGAACATTTAAAATGACTCACTTCAAATAATAGTTTTATGATATAAATTAGTGTCCTGAAGGTTGGCCAATCAGTGTAGCCCATGGACCAGTTGTAACATCAAGAAAATATAGACCTAGCTCATGTGTTACATTTTCATCCATTTTTTGATTGACCATTACAATTATAAAATGGATAAGAAAGGCTTTATAATCATATTTTATAATATAAAATTGCTTAAATTGAATATATAACAATAAGATATATAAATTAAAATTTTAGTTTAGGAATTTTTCCATATAAACTTTTTTTGAATTCAGACTATGGGTTGCAACAAGCCAGGCTAGCCCAACCCCTGGTAGTTTTTTTTATTTTTGGTCCCTTCCCCCCCCCAAATCTTACTTTTTGAAGTTTTTCCATATTTTTATGATACAACTGCTTTATTTAAAGTATAGAACAAGGTTTCCACCAAGTAGTGGTGATAAATAATTAAATTTTTAACAGGTTTTGTGCCAAAAAAGGTTACACCAAATTTTTAAGCTAAACTATAATTTACAGTCGATCATGGCTTAAACGTAAAGAATAGCTCAATCTTGAAAAAAATGTACTCTTGCTTAAGGCTTACTGAATTTTTTAGACTGTTAAGATTTAGCCAATTTAACAAAACTACAGTCAGGAAATAGTCCAATTTTAACAAAATATTTTAATGTTTAGATAGCAATGACATTGCTAGCTTTTACAATCCCAGCTGGTAGGCTAGTTTTTTCAAAATGACTTTTTATAGGTATTAAAAAAATAGGGGGCTCAAGTACCTGTGCCCCTCTACTAATGCCACTATTGTTTTAAATTGATAATAGGTAATTTACTTTGAAACAAATAATATATAGGGTACTTGTATTTAGTTCTTTAAGTGTCCTTTACCAACTAATTTTTTATTGATAACTACTGATATTTAAAAAAAATCATTAAGCTTGCTGACAATAAAATATATGAGGGAGAATACATAAGAGGAAACTCCTTTCCAAAATTTACCCTTACCCACCTAAAAAAATTTGTGTACTTCAGTATTAACCCACCCATTATTTGCTTAGAACCCCATTATAAAATTTTTATGCGCCACCATTTATAACATCAAACAATTCTAATTGAACTCTTTCAGGCCTCATGCTTATTTAGGCTAGGAATAACAAAATAATCAGGGGTTTATTGTGAAGGGTACTATGGGAAACTAAACCCCCCAATTTTTTTTTTAATTTATAGCCTTATTTCCATTCGATGAATTTTTTTTTGAGTTTTTATAAGTGTTAAATATGAATCCATTTTCTCCTTTATTTTTATAAAAATTATAATTTTTATAGTCAAAAAAAAATTTATTTCAACATTTTTATTTTCATTATTTTTATATTTTATTATCAACTAAATTAAACAATTTTGATTTCTCTCATTTAAACAATTTTTAAGGATATTATAAAACAATTTCAAGTTAAAAGCTAAAAAAAGTACTGGCTGGAGAAGAAAATCGAAAGGGATGGGGCAGATTTAATGAAAAATTTTCACATTTATTTTTTAATTTTCATCTTATTTCAATGACACAGGCTTGAGTGGACAGCAGAAGTAGACCCATGAAAATATACCATAAACTAAATATTATTGACCCATTAATATCCTAAACATCAACAATTTTTTTTGAAAAAATTCATAACCCCCATAGAAACTATATTGCCTCTGCTTCCTCTTTATTTAAAGAGCTTGATGTTTGATAACAAGTAGTGTTAATAGTTTTTAACCTACTCTAAAAAGGCTAAACCGATTTATTAAGCAAAAACTATCATCTTAGAATTATAGTTAAGTAATTACTATATTTTTAGCCAATGGCTAAACCGAGTTTTTAGCCAAAATCTATCATTTTTGTTTCAGGGGTTTTTAAAAAATATGGCAGCTCAAATTTTAAAACGCCTTAATGTTAAGGAATTTTCTCCGCATGTGACTGTAGATTGAGCCAAATTCAACATTACCCAACTATTTAATATCAAGGTTTTAACAGTAAATTAATTTTTTTAAAAAAAGATACTATTCAAGGTTTAGTGAATTTTTGATTGCTAGGATTGAGCCAATTTAATAATACTACAGACAAGAAATAGTCCATTTTTAACAAAAAATTTGTTTAAAAATTTAAAATAGGTATGTTAGGTGTTAAGATTATACATTCTAAATTAATAGAAATAGTATATTTTTTTGTTATTTGATGTCCTTTTCCAATGAACCATTTTTTAATGATTGACTGATATTTTAAAAAATTATCTAGGAACATGTTGCCAATGATATTTAAATATTTACAGATTTCGTTAGATTCAGGAATTATATTTTTTAAAAATATACCACAAAAAATCCTAAACTATAAGATTAAATAGACCAATCTATATTTTCTCTAAAAAGCATCACACAGTTCCATCTGGTGGCTTTGAAAACGGAAGTAAAATTATTGGAATAAATTTTAATAAAAAATTTTTTTTATTTTAGAAATTCTATCATTATTTAAAAATAGAATTTTCCTAAGAACAGATGCACATTTTGGCGAGAAACAAATAAAAAGAATCTGACAATATTCAAATTAAATAAATACAAAACTTGCAGGGTTTTGATAATATATCGATGAAGATATTCCCAAGAAAATTCTTTAATTACATGTATATTTTATCCTGAAGTACGCCGAGTGTGAAGAGGGCTTTCACTTGGGTGAGTTTAAGAACAAATAATTTGTCAAATTTAACTCATAAATATTAGCTAACTTTCAAATTTTTAGTGTATTCCAGAACCATATGAATGGAAAAGGAATCATTGCAGGGCAAAAAAAACCTTTTTAAAAATATACAGCCCAAAGTAAATGAAATATTTATGAAATTTTTTTATATTATTATATTATATATATTTTAATTTGTATAGATATTGGTGGTATTAAATTTGTGACATTATTTTTAAAATATAATGTACTAAATAATATATTCATAATAAATAAATATATTTTATATAATATCATTTTTTTGATAAGTAAAAAATTGTATAATTTCCAAGGTTTTAAATAGTGTTGTTAAACGGCTCGTTTTGAGCCGATTTTTAAAAACGGCTAACTCAATAGTTCATCTAAATAATATTACGCAAGCTTGAAGATTTTGTTTGTAGAAGGAACAAAGGTTTGGACATCTATTAGCGAAATCTCTATTAGGCAATATTTTTCTGCCTAAAATATTGAGTTAGCCGTTTTTAAAAATCGGCTCAAAACGAGCCGTTTAACAACACTAGTTTTAAACAATACAGATAGCTAGAATTAATCGCTCGGCCTACCAACAAAATAATTCATTTTAATCCTATTTTTTTGGTATTTCTAAACCCTAAGTGGTCCCGATTAAAATTTTTTAATCCTAAGCTGAGTTGCTTGCAGGATTTTACTATCTAACCATATAAAATGCTATGTTTTTATTTTTTATTTGAACTATTTGGAATAACATTATTCATCTGGACGCTGGGTGTGTGCTCGGGGTTTGTGCTCAGAGCTGGTTTGGTCGATTTTTTAGACCCAAACCCCGGATCTGGGTTTTACACAACCAACCAATTAACAACACTACAATACACCACTAACTAGATCTTATAAATGCCAAGATCATAAAAATGTATCATTTCTCTAATATAAATCTGCAGATTCCAAAATAATACTTTCTAAAATGTATTAAAACTAGGGATGTACCGATATTTTTTTATCGAATCGGATCGGGCAGATATTTCGCCCATTTTAAAATATCGGTTAACGGCCAATATTATATTAAAATATAGGTTATCAGTCAATATTATAAAATTTTCCGATCCGATGGCGTGTTTAACAAAAATAAAATTTTCTAAAATTAAAAAAAAAGTTATATCTAAAATCAATCAAAATCCATTTTTATGTATATTTTTTTAAATAATATTAATGATTTAATAAACATTCTGCCATACTGTTATTTTTTTGCTCATTCTGTTTATAAAAGTGTGCAATAATCTTTTCAGAATATGTTTTTAGTGAAGCTCGTGATATTGAGTTACCATTGGCACAACCTCTATTAAATTGGAAATTTGGTATATCTAAAAAGAAATCTTAGATATATTTATGTTAAATATTATTTTAAATTTCATAATATATTTGTTTATTACTTATTATGTATATAGATTAATGTTATTATTTATTATTAATAAAATGATTTATCAATAAAAATATTTTATATACTTTTAAAATAGCAATTGAATTGAATATAAACTATAACTGATCATTATAATATATTTAAATGTTTTATACTAATAAAAAGTATATTAAAAATTAAAACCATTGGCATCTTTACAGAATATAAAATTTGATATGATATCGGATCAGTAATTGACTGATATCAATTTAATATGGGGAATATAGGACCGGCCTCCAAAAAGTGGTATCGGTACACCCCTAATTAAAACCTATAAAATTTTAAAAATATCATCCTTAAATATTTGATATTGATTAGAGATCTGCAAATTTAGGCTTATCCAAAAGTCTTGCCAGCAGGGCACATTTAATAAAAATTTATATTGGGTCAGGCTGAGCAAAAATTTAACAAGCCAATATGGGGAAATTTGCATTTAGAAAATTTTTGGGCCAAACAATTAATACATAGAAAATCATACAGGGCCTTGCAAAACAATTTATATAATAATAAGAGTAACAATTATTTTTTTATCTAAATAATAAATTTATTAAAATAATAAAAAGTCAGAGCTATAAAATAAAGCTCTAGGTTGTAGGTTATAATATTATTTCAAAGGGTATATCATCTGCACATATTTTAAAATAGAATATTTTAGATGCAATTTATATATAAATTTATGCCCTATAAGGATAGCTAAAAATAGAGCAATGAATAAATATATTATTTCATTAAGCTTAAAAGTTCTTGAGATTTTATTCATTTGGAAGAAATAAAAAATAAATATATTTACATTTTTTAAGAGCCTTATTTGTATTTTTAATATATATTTTTCTATATAAAATTTCCACACCAAGAATATAAGCATGTATAACAATCTGTTGCATGTTTTATATTAGCACCACAAGTATCTTTTAGCCAGTCAGTAAATAATTCTTTGTCCTTTTTTAAAACTAAAAATTGTCCCAATAGTACCCATGCCTAATTTAATTAAAAATTCCTGAATTATTATATTAGCAAAAGCTCTATAAATAATATATAAATTTAATTTAATATACAAAAATACATATTAAAGATGATTAAACCTTATCAAATCCTTTATCGCGAAGCCTTTTTCCTAAAACGTCCCCTATACCAGCAATTTCGGTCACTTCTTTCTCATTCATAGGTTCAGATATAAATTCTGAATGTTTTTTAGAAGTTGATGACATATTTTGAAATATTTGTAAAACCTTACCTCAAAAACCTCATTTTATAAATCACTAAAGGAAAAGGTAACGAATAATAACAATGTACAAAAAATTGAATTAAAATGATTAGGCTTAATAAATTAAAGTGTGTTTTAATCAAAATTTTATAATTTTCATTGAATATTTTTGACTTAAAATGGTTTACAATTTAAATTATAACCGCATAATAAATTATTATAAATTTAATATATGTTATAATTCAATAAATTTTTGCATAGAGTTTCGGAACTTATATCGTGATTTCTAGACTTCATTAATTTTATCTAAGAATTATATCGTTTTATATATAAAAAATATATTATAATTTTAATAGACATCTATCCAATTAGAAACAAGATTTTTCACAGAATGACTGATATTCAAAGTGTTGTAGTAAAATTTTTCTTTTTATTCGTTTATAATTTTTTTTTTTAATAAATAGAATAAAGAGAAAGCTGACTTAGCATATACAAGTTTACAACATATATGTCAACTTGATGTTGACTCTACACCTAATATTATTAGAAAAACTGGCATCATATGCACGATAGGTTAATATATAATATATTACTTTACGAATCCCTTTGTAATTATATTGCTATTCTATAAATCCCATTTTAATTGTAACATTATTTTGAATAAAGGCCCATCATCTAGATCAGTTCAAGTTCTTATAGAAATGATTAAAGCTGGAATGAATATTGCAAGGCTTAATTTTTCCCATGGAAATCATGATGTTATATATTTATAATAAATAATATATAGTTAGTTAATTTGTAGTATCATGCAGAAACAATTAAAAATATAAGAGAAGCTATAAATACTTTTAAACCTAAAGTTCCAGTAGCAATTGCATTAGATATAAAGGGCCCTAAAATTAGGACAGGAATCTTAGAAGTTTATTCAAAGTTTTTATTAATTTCCTACATATTATAAATAGCCTAATATAGAAGAAATTGAATTAAAAGAAGGAAAACAATTAAGATTGACAGTTGATAAAACCTATTCCAAAAAATGTAACTCGGATTTACTGTATATTGATTATCCAAAGTTAATAACTTCTGTCTATAAGGGAAATAAAATATTTATCGATGATGGTTTAATATCACTATCAGTTCAAGACATAGGTATTACAAATATATGATCATATTTTGGTATAACATTTTTTAAGAAAATATCATTTATTAAATCTCTAAGTTTATTATATCCAATATTCTTAAAAATATTTTTAATGAGTTGCCTGGCCTATGAAATTTTTCACCTGGCCCTGCTTGCAGACTGATCTATATAGATCACTATTGTCTAAATTATTGTATAAATACCTTTATTGATCAACAGAAAGAGATCTATCATTAAAAAGAGTCTTTGCCAGATTTTTGTATTAGAGATTTGTGTAGTTCAGCTGAAAGCATATCCCAAAACTGACTATCATAGGCTTTGAAAATGATGTAATAATCTTTAAAATTGTTTATTAGTTATAAAAACATTATTAATAAGGGAGTGGGGGAATATGCCTTAAATAGTGAAAAAATATTGCACTTTATTTAAGCTAGTTTTTTTAAAATCTATTTTACCTATGATATATAAGCTTATCTCTAAAAAATTCATACATAATGGTAATAATAATTTTCTTTAAAATTTTATTAAATTGACGCCACATTTTTCTGTATAAATAGATATGTGCTAACAAAACTACCGAAGGCCAGTGAGAGTTTTACGAATCTATCATTAAATTTTTAATATAAAAAAATTGTAATAATTTTTGTAAAGAGTGTCTAAAATAAAGCAAAATTTCCTTAAAGACTATTGCATTTACAACAAGCATTGATTTTAAATGTGTATCAAAAATTATATTTATTTAATATTTTTTTAAAAAAAATTAGTTAAAATTTGCACCGTTTTTGCTTTAAAAAGCTCGTATTTTAAAAATTATTTGATATAAATGCAAAAAAACAAGTTCAATATATAATAGGATACTAACAAGAAAACTAAATCATTCTATGGTTTTTTTGTAGTAATAATTTATAAAGCTATCAAATGTTGTTATGCTCCAATATACCATTAGTAATATCAAGAATATTATGTTCTATACAATGGTGTATTACTTAAAAACTTGGTGGGAGGGGCCTAGCTACGATTAGCTGATTGAAGAGGGAGATTGATGTTTTAATATGTTTGGATAATAATACATTTTTATTATCATGAATTTTAAATGTAAATTGGTGAAACTTAGTAAGTTTTTCCAATTTGATAGGTTTCCAAGATTGTTTACTGTTATTAGGATTAACTTGTTGAAGGAATTGCGAGCACCCTGTGGTATACGGGATATGGTGGGAAAGTTGGGTAGGGATAAAAAATCATTAGCCCATGATTGTATTGTTGAGAGTTTGTTGGCTGGGAGGCTAGTGGGTAGCAACAATAGGATAGGGAGAACTTGCTAAATATAATAGACTGAATGGAGGAGGATCTATAGGCGTTATACATGGTATGAACCTCGGCATCTAGAGGATGGGGGGATTGTGAATTTGAAACTTCCTAGCTTTGGTTTTGTTTATAGATTTATTGCATAAGGGACATATATCATGTATTTGAATTTTTATTTGCCAATCCTCTTATCAAAAAATAGTAAGAATTTTGGGTCATTAAAATGGGAAATAAAATTTGATATATATTTAAAATTTGGAATGATAACTTATGCAGGATATATATTGTATAAGGAGAGGTATCAAAGGTAGACAAATATACAAATTAGGTATGATGTAGGCAAGGATAATCATTTAAAAAAACTGTTTAGGAATCTGTGGAATAGTAGATCCAATGTTGAATGTTATTTGGGATAATTTAAATCTGGAATTAAATTTTTAATGTGGATTAATTCCCTGGTTGAGGTATTAGTGCATGAAATGGAATCATTTGGAATTGAAATCAAAGGTGGTAAAAAGGTGCTTGGTATAATGTTGAGATTTATTTGTTCCAATAAGGTAGCTGGAGGTTTATTGATACCTGGGCACATAGCATCTAGTTAAATGAGATTATTATTTTTATTTTTAGCATGTATTGACCTATAACAGTATAAACAGTTTTCCATTTGATAAGGGTCTCGTTGTAAAAAGAATATCATTGTAAATAGGAGTTATTATTATATAAATTTTGATCTTTAAAATTCAATGTGCACATTACAACTGAGATCACGTTTTAAAGAGAGATTATTATATTTAGTACGATTTGATCAATAACAGAATGAAAAGTTTTTCAATTTGATAAGAATTTTGTTGTCTCTGGTGATTCCTCTTGATCTTATCATCATAATAGTATTTGGATCATGTGACTGTAATATCTTTTATTTATCTTATATTTAATACTAATAAATTATATAACAACTTCTAGCGAAAATCATTTATTTTTAAAAAAAAAAGAATATTTCGTTCCTGTAGTGTTGTTAAATCGGCTAATTCCTAACCGTCGAAAAAATTACCTATAGGCTAGAGTATTTTTGAGATTTCCTTTATGTTTAGAACTTGATCGAGGCTAAGATGATAGTATTCGCTTAAAAATTTCGGTTTAGTATTTTTAGAGTTGGCTCAAAATCTGTGGAGATAATTATTCACTACTTGTTGGTGAGCCTCATTCTATACTTTAGATAAGGCAGAGGCGGCGACAACTCATAAAATTTATATGAAAATAATGGAAATAAAAATATTGAAAAATAAAACTTTTTGCTTCTCCATTTTTTCTATGTGGCTAAAAAAAATAAAAAAAAATTCCTAGACACCTTCGCAACGCTCCCCTGGTTCTATATTCGGTTTATCAGAATTTCCAGGATTTTTTAATATTTACTAATTTGGGGTAAAAATAAAGCAGGTATCTACCAAACCCATCCATTACACCTGTATTATCCTTTAATATTTACCGAATTTGAAACGCTAAATTGTCACTCTAACCTGAACCGAAACTTATAAAAGGTCAGTAAACCAAGTGTGAGCCTTTTAATATCTTAATTGTTTTAAAGATTATTATCGATCAATTTTGGTTCGCCAATATCAGATCCATTTTTAGAATAAATGTTTATATTATAGTTAATACTGTTTATTATATACATTTTTATGTGGATAAATATATTAGCTTTAATGATATAATTTAGAAAAATGTGTTTCTTTATATTTATATAATCTAATAAGTTTTTATGTGAACGGGTTCGTTTAGGTTTTTGATAATTAAAACCTAACCGATGTTATCATTTTTTACGAACCTAAACTATAACCCGTTATTTTGAACTGATACTCGTTGCCGTTCGGATTTCACTATTAAAATTATCTTTTTGCACTTATCTCTTTTTGAAAAATAGCGGGGACGCGTTACTAGTGCTATAGTATTGGCGCTACTAGACCAGAATGAATGGATTTGTCCAATAGGGATTGCCATATCTATCATTAATAGATAATTTTTATTGGTTTTCTTTACAGTGGCATCGATAGTTCCTATGCTACTTTAGGCATGCAAAAAAAACAGTAAATTTTTATAGACTTAGGCGTTCTCACAAAGTATATTAATCACTTATGAAAATTTTTAAAAAATTTGTCAAGAAAAATCCAAAACTGTGAATCCAATTACTAATATTTTATTGGGGTTTTAAAAATTTAATAAATTTCATTTTGAAATATTTAATTGAAATTTCCTAACCTGAATTAAACCCATTTCGAATCCGCTAATGAACTCTAACGAACGGAGCCGAATCTGGCCAATATTTTATACGGGGTTAAGTTGTGTTCCAAATTAATCTGTTTTTATGTTTTTACAAGCTTAACCAGCTTGTTATAGGCTTATTTTTCCATGCAAAAAATTTTTTTTTTGATATTATTCTATGGCATTTGTTACTTTGATAATATAAACTGTCTCCGCGAGGGTGATTCTTTAGAATTCATATTAAGAACTGGTTAAACTTGTGACAGTATTTGTAAATTGATTTAGATTTATTTTTTTAAAATGCTTCAAAATCTTAATTCATTACAGGCGAGGATTACGCTCAATGCATTGTTGAAAATGGCGGTAGAATTGGAAGTTTCAAAGGAGTTAACTTGCCCGGTGTCTCTGTCGATTTACCACCCTTATCCGAGAAGGATATAAGCGATATTCATTTCGGGATCGAGAATGACGTAATTAATTTAACATAAATAAGGCATAATTTATATACATGTCTCTTTCTTAGGAAAAAAGAAAGAAAGAATTATTACCGTGAAAAGGGCGGATCTTGCTTTTGAATTTATTAAATTGTATAGATTAGCTCAGGGTATTCCTAGAGAAATACACTAGAGTTTGCATTTAAATTAAATCTATTATACGCCTTTTTAGTCATTTTGAAGCTAGAATTAATAACATTGTTTACTTTTTTCCGACGTCCTCATTGCCAGACTCCTAAACCTTTTATTTCACTCTTTTATCGAACATGATTTACAAGGAACTAAAATTATTACTCTTTCATCCAAAATAATTTTTTTTACAGGGAACTGGTATTTATTTAGAAACTCTAAATTATATTGCATTTTAACAAAATTCAAAGGTGGATATGGTATTCGCCTCGTTTGTGCGGGACGCCAACGGCGTTAAAGAAGTTCGTAAAGCATTAGGAGATACCGGTAAAAAGATTCTCGTTATATCTAAAGTCGAATCTCATCAAGGCCTTAAACAGTTTATATTATATTATATATTTATTCTTTATAAATCATTCCATACAAAATAAACGTTATATTTTAAAAAGATAGGTAGTTCTTCATGCATTTTCTAATGAAAAAAGTAAATAAATAAACATTTCAATTTAGAATTTATCTTATAAGGAGGTTGGATGAGAGGTTAATGGAAATGTGCATGTATGAGACTCTTTTGGATAATATTACACTAATTTTCGACCAAGAATGCATCGCTTAATTCAAGCATGAGGAACTAATTATCAATTCATATGAAAATCTTAATCTAATTTTATTTAAATTTTTTAATCTAACACCATTAATAAGTATCGATGAGATCATAAAGGAATCGGACGGAGTAATGGTGGCTAGGGGGGATATGGGAATCGAGATCCCTCCTGAAAAAGTATTTTTGGCCCAGAAAATGATTATCGGTCGGTGTAATTTAGCTGGAAAATCGTGCATTTGTGCCACTCAAGTTTATTTAATTCTTCGATCTTTTTTTCTAAATTATAGCTTTGATCAATCGATAATAATTTTTTAATATATATTCATATTAATCATTTGCAAATCCTCTATCACCTTTTTCACCTCATTTAGAAAATAGATTGATTGAAGATCAATTATCACTTACTTGGTTATGTTTTAAGTTTGAGGATTTACTATTTTGATTCATAATGACACAAATCCTTCCTTATTTTATTAGAAGATAGTATTGATCATGCCCACTGGGAACCTCTCAATTAACCTCCGGACTAAATTATAACCATTAAAAAAATTTAATGTTTTGTAAATAATCAAATTATTATTTAAAAAATTGCCAATAACATTTAATTCATTAAAGATGCTAGAGAGTATGATAGCAAACCCCAGACCCACCCGCGCAGAAGTGAGCGATGTAGCTAACGCTGTGTTGGATGGAGCCGATTGCACAATGCTGAGTGGTGAAACGGCAAAAGGAAAATATCCCGTCTTATCTATCAATATCATGGCCAGGGTATCACACTTGACATAATTTTAGCGTCATCATTTCTTCCAAATTTTTATTAAATAGATCAAAAATAAATGCAATCTATAATATTCTGTATGGTATATAAATTGACGAATAATTAACTTTAAATTGTGAATTTATTCCCTTTAAAAATTATCAATTTATAAGTAGTTTGATTCTATATGCAGACAAAGTTTTTATTATGGAAACATTGTAAAAATAAATATTTTTAACATATGTATGGAACACTAAATAAATTTTTACCTCTAAATTATTATTTCTTATATTCTAATTTTTAAACTGTATAAATGTGTAAGATATCCCTTGAAGCCGAAGCTGCCTTATTTCATAAACAATTTTTCCAGTCTATCGTGGAAGAAACTAAGACACCTGTCGCTACAGTCGAAGGTATTTCTATAGCTGCAGTAGAGGCTTCCTTCAAATCTAACGCTAAATGCATTATAACCCTGACACAAACAGGAAGGTTGCCCAAACTATTGTTTATAGATAACATCCCGTCACTTGAGAATTGGCCTCTTCTTCTATTTAAGCATTTTTTAAAGATATTATCTATAGTCAAAGTTTGAACTTCAAGACTGTTTACATTGATAGATGTAAAAGTATTATCACAAATAATTTAAATTTTAACATAAAATGATCATTTTCTAATGTAAAAATTTTGAAAAGGTCGAAAGAGCACTCCAATACTCACGCAACGATATAGTTTGTTTTTTTTAGCGTTTTTGATAATTTAATTATTTAGAACCAATTAAGTTTTTTTATAATATATTTTTTTAAAATATGAAATAATACCTTTTGGCGTGATAAATTGATCACTCGATCTTCATGGGTCACAATACATGTTTTAAGTTAATCATTACTTAAATGTAACTTTTTTTAAAATAAAATAAATTAGGACTGCTACTGCATTATCGAAATTTAGGCCAAAATGCGTTATATACGCTGTTACTCGTTCATGGAAGGTGTGCGTTCAATTACATCTTTATAGAGGAATAATACCAATATTTTGCCAAGGTATGCATACCCAATAATATCATTGTAATATTATATATTTTAATGAGTTTAATAAATTATCTTTGTGTTCTATTTTATTAAAATTATCGTTTAATAGATCCCCCCTTAAAAGATTGGTGTTCCGACGTTGATCACAGAGTTAAATTAGCTGTCAATCATTGCAAAGATTCTAAAGTCTTAAAAACCGGTGATACCATGATTTTAGTTACGGGTTGGAAAGAGGGTTCCGGGTTTACCAACACTATGCGCATAGTCCCAGTGGATTGAAATCGTTTTTTCTATGAATCTCCTTTTATCATCATTTTTTATATGCATTTTGGTTCAATCATCGCTAATCAATATTTTTTATGATTCATGACCCCATCTCAGTATTAATATTTTTTTATACAGTATTTCAAACATTTTTTTTCATATAACCAAACTAGAGAAAATAGGTGACTAAAATTTGCCTGCTCAAAATGAGACATTTTTTAACAATTAATCTACAGAAATGATAATTGGTTAATTATATATTTATTTTTATCTACGAATGATATTTATAGAAAATTTTATTTATTTATTGTTTAATGATTTTTTATTTATAATGACATTTAAAATAAGCATAATAGTTATTGAATTTCACACCATCATATACTTTATTATTCGTCACATTAGCTCAATTTTATATACAATTTTTCTAATATATTATACTATATTTGATACTAATTTTTATCGATTATAATGATTACTTTTTTACATTTCAATAAAATCTTCCCATGTAAATAGTGTAATAACATTAATCATATGCAGATTAAGAGTAGCTAAGGAGCCAAAGGAAATGATTTGATTTCAGTCCAATATAATGCCGTTTCTTTTACTACAGTACCACTAAATAATGAGTTTTTTTAAACAAAATAAATTTTTATAGAATTTGTTCCTTATTAATAAGATTAGCCTTTCTAAATCTATATTTTTATACATTTGCAATTTTTAAATATTATTCTGTTTTAAAATCTACTTGAATTCAAACAATTTCGATAAGTAAGTATGTTAGATAAATAATATACAGTAGCCCAACTAGACTCATATCAACAGGAGGGTGGATGTTCGCGAGGAGCAAAATATTTTGATTAAAAATATTTCAAAAAACTGACTATTTTGTTGCCCAAATAAAATTGTATATCAATAGAAGACTTAAATTTTTTTAAAATTTGGTTATAGTTTTTTTAATTCATGTATTTAAAAATTGCAACTTCTAGGTCTTTATTTAAAAATTTTAAGTTGAAATGGGACAATTAAAAACAGCAGATTTTTTAATAGTTGGCAATGGTGATCTCTGGTCTTTCAATATTTTAGTTTTCTTTTTCAATAGCTGCCTTTGATCTTAATAAAGGCCACAAATTTTTTTCTATTTTACAATAATTGCTCTCAATTTAATTTTCAGAGTACCAAGTCATAGTCAATCCAAATGATAAAAATATACTCTATCCTGGAAAAAACCCTAAACTCTGTTTGAAAATTCAATTAACATTTTTTTAAGAATATGCTTAACGTTTTTCAGGAATCAGAAGTAAATTGTAATAGAAATAAAATAAATTTATAAGTCACAAACTAAGTATGCCATATTGGGATATGAAATCCTTGGGATTCAAAATCTCTTAATTTTATATTCTTATTTACTGAGGTAGATTTTATAAATATGATTTGACCTGAAATACATTCCAGTATGGGTTAGAATACCTACCCTATAAATTTTAGACAATTTTTATGTGTATTTTTTCTAATTTATAGGAAAATCCATATAAATTTTCAAATCCCAATACAACATATACATTACATAGGCAAAATTAAATAAACATTATTGAGTCTATTAATTTTACTGAATAAAGGAATAGTTATAAAATTATCCAATTGAAAATCATTGTAAGTGTTTAGCTATTGAGCCAATATTTTTTATTATTTAAATTTTCCAACATTTTTGGAAAAAATTGCGTTAGACTTATAAATGAATCGATGTTTTATCTATGTGAAGCCACAATTTGGATGAAAAAAATTATAAGTTTTGACATTCCAAAGTAGCGAAGGTCCGGATCGGACCAGGAAACTGTCTTTAAAAAGATCGTTTCAGATCGTGGTCCTAAATAAAAAAACCAGTCTTTTTTGATATTTTAAAAATACTTTTGTTCTTATCTAATTAAATTCTTGTTTGTTGGGACATATAAAATGCTTCTCTAACAAACTTATGGTTTTCATATTGCAACATAAAAATTCATAAAAAAATTAACTCTTCTAGAAAATTAACATTAAATAAATTATATTAATTGGATAATAAAGCACTTATTAGGAAAAGACCGGTTCTGACCACGTTCCGGACCATAAGAAATAAAAAGCTCAAACTCGGTTCGGAGTGTGGTCCTCAAAAAAGATCGTCCTGTACCGTTGACCTTCACTAGTCCAAAGTCAAAATTTTGTAAAAAGTATTAATGAAATAAATCGAGTTTTTACGCAAATTATAAATGCTAGAATCAATTTTTTTGGGCACAAAATTTTACTTTTTTCTATATTTTATTACTAAATTTTTTTAATTAAATTAAAAGGTAAAGTTTGATAATATTTTTTTATAATGTTAAATATATTATCCTTTTAGTAATTTAAGATAAAAAAAAGATATGATAATTAGTGATTATTAATTGATCATCATTCATTGATTCAATGATGTGATTAGATTGACGATTTATGTATTAAATTCATTAAAAAGTGTACATACATAGGGTCAGCTGTACATTAGTGGTTTGCACGTCGATTAAATGATAGTCGAAGTTCAAACAAAAGCACTAATATACACCTTTATTTAATGAATAGTTATAGTAACGTATTATATATCATTGCCCTGCTTTTAATTTTTAGTGTCCAAAAACATGATCCAATTAAAAATTCAAAACAAAAAATTCATAATAATTTAAAAAAATCAATTTATATACAGTAAAAAATTTTCAGTCAATTCGAACATGTTTAGCCAGGAATATATTGATTTGAAGCTCAAAATTCAATTATCTCAGTATGAAACAAAAATACATGTGGAACACTCCAATAATCGACTGACGATATATTACACCTAACCCAAATCTCTATGGCCTTTTAACCCAACTTGTTGGAGAGTCGGTTTTGAAGAATAGTCCCTCAGGGGATAGAACAATAGAAGAAAAAAAAATATAGATGGCTTAATAGCTAATCATATTAATTATTAAATATTTAAATGACATGTATTTTACACATAAATCAATGCAACTTTATTATTTGATTTATTTATTAAATACAAATTAATCAATTACTTACATAAAATTTATGGTGCCTGCATTCATGCCCGGCGCAATCCACGTGTACTGAAGACCTTGTAGTGATTCTTTTGATCCATCGTGTGTTATGGAATTACCTCCGGAACAATTTAAGAGTTTTGTTCCACTAGGAGGATCAATAAACTCCCCTACTCTTTCATCCGTAAACATAGATCTGGCTTGAAGTAAAAATCCTTTGTAATTTCCGCCTATTATTTGGACTGTAATTTTAAATATTTATTTTTTGAATTAAAAATCGTGAGTTGAATTATTATTTCAAAATAAGGGACATTTTTTTATAAAGGATTAAACTTTTAAGATGTTCTCCTTCGCTATAGCTATCAGTTGAAGGTATGATCTGAAAAGGAGGAGGTGAGGATAGATCAGCTTTTGAAGGTCCATGTTCAGTTAAACTGGGAGATAACGTATCACATGCATCAAGGGGGGCTCCTCTGGGATAATTAAGTGCACCTCGAATTAACATCGCGAGAAATACATAAATAACCCAATTCGCATACCAATATTCGAACACGAATTTAATCATCATATAAACGAGAGAGAGATAAAGAAAATAGGCTTAGTTATTCTATTTTTTTATAAAAAGTCACACTTTAAAAAGATGGAATAGTTCTGCAAGGTAAATTTTCTTTTAAAAAAAATATGCCTTGTACTACTAAATATTTAAAAGATATTATATCGCAAGAACACTAAAAAACAAGTGCTTATTTTAAATTATCTCAAAATAAATTGGTCTAAATTAAAAGCTCTAATACACGATTTCCAAAACGCTATAATCAATATAATATTTAAAAAATTTAATATCGCAAAATTTTTTATATTAAAATATTTTATAAAAAATTTAAAAAAGTATATATATATAATGTAACGCGGCTTATTCAAAAATATAAATAACACGGCTTATACAAATAAAAAATTTTAATTTAATCTATTTTTTATTAGTGACCAAATTAAACAAAAAAATGTCATTTTGTCTTCCTCTTTACATTTTGTTTAAAAAATTTTTTTTGTTTAATGTATAAAAAAGATTTTAAAAAGAAAATTATATAATCTTATAAACACTAAATTATAACTAAATTGTTTTTACAATGACCTGATTATTTTATTTTTCGCTAAGATTTTTTTAATATAAGATATAAATATAATATACTAACCATGACAAATAAATAAGTCATTTATAATCATTTTTGATGGTGTTTTAACTTATCAAATTTTTGCCGGTGTGAAAAAAAAAAAGCTTTTTATTTTATAAGTATTATTTTATAAACAATAATTGAGATAAAATTATGTATTTAAATGATAAATATCAGCTTTTAAAATAATTTTGTCCCGAAAGGATTGAGTTCAGGTGGATCTGCTAAATTAGAAACTTTTATACGCATCTGGTTCGGTTCAAAGCAGATAACCGAAACAAACGTTTTTTTTGAACACCTGTTTCGTTTCAGTTGTAAAAATTTCCGTTCGTGATTTGGAATTGTTTCATTTTTGAAAAAAAGAAAGATCATATTTTTATTTTAATAAACGAACATATTTTTATTCTTTTTTTATTTAAAATTAGAATGATAACTACTTTATTACATCTAAGTATAAATATAGCCATTAAAAATATCAATTTATTTATATTTTTGTGGTAGCATGTAAAATTTTTATTGTAAACTTGTCAGTATGTCACCATGGGGTGGCATGCTATTGGAGCCCCGCAATATTTTGTTATTTTTCTTCATGTTTATATAATATCTACCAAACGAATTGAAACACTAAAATACACTAGTTAAAAGCACTGTAAATGAATATAGAAAAATTGTAGCCCTCTAAGTTAAATTAGCAACGATACTACATCTAAGTGAGACTAGAAATTGTTTATTTATTTAGGTTCAGGTATACTTATATTATGTTCAAATTATAAAAGATATATAGCTTTAAATTATAATAGCTAGTTTTTAATGATAAAAATAAGTCCTTTATATTGATTTTCATTTTAATTCTTTTGATTAAAATTTGTAAAATTTTATAAAACAACAAAATTATATTTATAATTATTTATAAACTTTTAACTTGCAACATAACCAGTTATTTTTAAATTTTACGGTAACTTTAGTTTAAGATATTTTAAAAATTCACTTTAAAATAGTTTTATATACTATACTTGTGCAGCGATATATGGTCAATAAAGATTTGAATCCAACAATTATTATTAGTTAGTTCTCTATACATATAAATGATAGTATATAAGTTTTTCAATTCAAAATAACTATTTATTAATTTACAATGACATAATATTATATAATATTATGAAAAGCTTTATATATTAAATATAAATAAAATAACCTTTGATAATGACTGACCTTTTATATAAAATATAACAAATAATACATCACTAACATATTTTACAGGAACTTTCTTAATCACCTCCCATCAAAATATTAAGTATATTTTTTATTCATACCTCATCAAATAAAACATATTAATGGCTAACCGGTCATCAAATAAAGGGGAATTTTCTAATTAACCCGTTATTCTTTGATGGGTTATCTGTTAGTTTAAAATATTAGTACAAAGTGATGGTGCTTTGATGAAAGTCATGCTAGTCTTTGAAGTTAATGGGACATTATGAAATGGATGGCTTAAACCTATCAATATCACCTGCAAAATATTTTATAAAATGAATTGATTTTATTAATAATTCCTTCTCGCAGGCAAAATCTAAACCCGGACTGGATAAAGCTTATTTTTTTAAATTAAAATGGAGGGTGGGGGCTTGGGATTTAGTCATTTTTTGATTCAAGTGATCTGAAATTAGTTGGCAAATCAAGTTCGTATATTCATTTACTGCTTATAATATCCATTTCCCATTAAAGCAACTAGGCTTGTTAATCGATACTTTTAAAAAGATCGAATCCCAATCACGCAAAAAAGAGGATCGAAATCCAGAATCGACTTTATTTAAAAAAAAAGGATCGCGATCACGATCACGATCCTTTTCTTATATAAATTTCTGAAGGAAATTACTGAGCGCTGCAAAATTAACTAATATAAAAATAAATTAAATATATATGGTATAAATTTATTGTAGATGAATAATACAATATAAGTATAACAATTAGAATATATATATTTATAATTAAAATTAAAATTAGCCTTTAATAATAAAAATTTTTCTAAGTTATTATCATTTAAACATCCATTTCTTTCATTAAGCACATGTTTTTACTAAACAAACGCTCCACAGTGTTTGATGGCAAAGGTATTCAGTAAATATTTTTTAATTAACATAAGTATTAAAAATATTCATTGAATAATCATATGAATAAAAAAATTTATTAATGGAACGAGCATTTTGTAAAGAATTTTCCAAAAAAGGTATCTATTTCATCCATAGATTCATTTGAAGCATCGTGTCGTTGATCCTGCATATTTTCCAAATGGGCAATTAACCTTTATTTTACCAACAGATTTTGTGGCATATTAATATAAGGCCAATTTAGCTTAAATTTTGGGTGAATTATTACTGCCAATATGTTACTGTCATTATACAGTAAAGAAAATTTATATAAGAAATGATAATTAATTTATTATACATCAAAAGTAGATGTATTATCTTTTAAATCTATAATGGAGGACATTATTAAAACCTAGAATTTATCTATATTATATATAATATAATTAAATAAATAAAACTTGTAGGCTCTAAATTTCGTTCTTGATAAAATTTAGGAAATTATTGAAATATTAAATATGGTGAAATGGAAGTTGATAAAATATGATTAGTGTTGTTAAACGGCTCCTTTTGAGCCGATTTTTTAGAACGGCTAACTCAATTTTTCAGCCAGAAAAATTTTACCTGAACCTCGAGATTTCGATAATATATGTCTAGACCTTTATTCCTTCCATGAGAAAAATCTTCAATCTTGCGTAAAATTTTCCTGGGTGAAATATCGAGTTAGCCGTTTTTAAAAATAGATTCAAAACGAGCCGTTTTAGAAAATTAAATATGATGTAGATAGATATTTTTTTTTAAAAATAATATTTTAATTTAATTTTCAAAATTTTTATTTTATTTATTGCTTTTTATAAAAATTACTTTCTAAAAGGATCGGGATCGAATATTTAAAAAAAATGATCTCGATCACGATCCTTAATTTAAGTCAGGATCATAAATCAGGGGAAATAGACAAATTTATGATCGAATCCAGGATCGGCGATCTTTTGATTCGATCCTTTAACAACTCTGAAAGTAACTTACAAAACCTAGCCAAAATCAAAATAACAAACTTTTAGGAATTTTGTATCACGCCGTAATGACTATATAAAAATTGGGGTAAGATCAAATATTTTAAAAAAAAATACTAGACTTGGCCTGAAGATGGATTTTTCTTGAAATATGGGCCAGGCTATGCAATAAGTTTAGGTATGGTTGTTAAAAAGCCCGACTTGGATCCATTTTTAAAAACGATTAGCATTTTAGTCAAAATAATATTATGTAAGCTTAGAGATTTTGACTTTATATGGCAAATAAGCATGTTGTTATTTTGATAAAATCTTAATCGGGTCGTTTTAAAAATTGACCCGAATCGAACATTTTAACAACTTTCTTATGTATAGGCACCAATGCAAGTCTCTGATATATTTAGTGCCTGGTTTAAAAGACATAAATAACAGAATAAAATTAATTTGCCAGAATCAGGGGTATAGCCAGGAATTTTCTACAGAAGAAGGGGTTATATTTTTTATATTAAAATTAAGCACTATATAAAATTTATTATATAAACCATCACTTCTTCTAATTAATGACAATTTAAAACAAATAAAGAATATTGGAAAATAGAAAATTATTTAAAGTCGAATATGATATTGTTAAAAAAATATTGTAGCCATAAACATTATATGATTATTAAAAAAGTTAATCAAAATGTCGTTTATGAATGAAAATTTAATCTTCTTTGCGATTGTGTCAATATTTCGTTCTCTATTGAGGAATAAATCTCCACGTATATTTCGCTATAATCCATTCATTTGATTTTTTGATGTCATACTTTTGAAAAGGGTTTTATTCTCCGTAATGAATAAAGGGTCCTCTCATTTGTTCTTGTACTAATTAGTTTTGTTGTCAAAATATACAGCTACAGTAATTTTATTATAATTGGAAAAAAATCCAGAATACAGTTTTGTGTACAATGCTTCTATTGCATTACTTGAAAGATTATCTACTAAAATTAATTTTGTACCAAGATGTAAATTTTGAACTTAAGGCCTTCAGATACATTTATATCCTTAGAATAAAATTTAGACAAATATTTATTTTTTTCAATATAAAGATTTAATATAACCCTAGAAAAGGATTTATGGTAAATTGTATAGAACCTGTGTAATCAGAAATCATTCATTTGAGGCAAACTATTATTCAGAATCCAAAAGTGAAATAAAAACAGTAATTTGAAGTATTCCTCAGTTGTCCTCTTTAATATT